GGAACAAACAGGGTGTTTCGTACATAGATGCTAAGTGGACCAAGTTAACTCTCATAGCCATTTAGGGATTTTTTTTGTCTTTGTACCATCAACATGTGTCTGGTAATGGACCACGTTTAATACAGTCATTGAAAATAATATCCACAGTGACTATTAATATGTAATTTATATGATCTTAAAAATAACTGGGTCAGATTCCATAATTTTCCAACCATTCTCAACCCGTGACCTACCATAGAGTTTGGTCAGTTTTGTGAGCCTTTTCCTCCAGTAGAAAAACAAATGAAAATAATGTTACAGATTTTATGAGCCCTAAATTCTGTTTTTCCTGATACATGAAAAACTTTAAAGCATTTCCTTCTACTGTAAAGTTTCATTTATTTTATTTTTAAATAAATTAAAACATTTAATAGGCTGAAAGATGATGCCAGATGCTACACTTATGGTGTCTACTGGACAGGTCAGCCCTGTCCATTACTGTTTTCCATTCCCTTTCCTTGACCCTGAGAAGTAGCTTCTGGCTCCGCTTCTGTCACACAGGCTGATATCCCTAAACCACTTCTCCTCTTCCGCTCAATTTGCTTCCCTCTCCCCAACCATCTCATCATTTTCCTAGAAGAAAACACAGACATGAGGATAACACAGAGCCTTCATAATACCGTGCTTATTTGCAGCACAGCAGCTAGCAATCATTGGTTGCTAAAGTGTTTCTTTGATTTCTTTAGTCTTTCTTTTCTAATCTAGACTATTTATTATGCTTGCTTTGGTGTTTTACTACACTGTGTCTTGGTATCAATATCCATTTGTTAACTACTTCATTTCTAATCTTGAGTATTTTAAATTTAAGTATGTATGTCAAGTGTACTCTTTAACTGACTGCATGTTTTGAAAAATTACCTTTATCATTTCCAATAAAATCTAACTACTATCATTCTTGTCATTTTCACTTTACCTTTCCAGAGCTCAATATTGTTCAAAGTGTATGTGTATGTGTGTATGTTTATCATCCTTTTTCTAAAGCTTTTTCTACCTTGTCATCTTTTCCAGATGATTTACTCACTTTCAAAAGTTGCAGTCAGGCAGGTGTGGTGGGGCAGTCCTGTAATTCCAGTATTGTGGGGGTGCTAAGGTGGGCGGAGCTTAAATTTAAACCCAGCCTGGGCAATTTAATGATTTAGCAAAACCCTATTTCAACATTACAAAAAAAATTAAAGTGGAATAGGGAAGTCTGAGGACATAGCTAAGTAGAAAGATACTGGGTTCAATCCTCAGTTCACACAAAAACTGTATTTGGGATTTTCCTACACAATAAAAATGTCAATATAGTTAAAATTTCTCATCTCCAAAATGTTCAATTCAGTTATTATGTTTTCAATTATTATAGTTAGAAGTCATTTATATCATTTAAAGAGAAACAAATTATGTATTGTCTTTATTATCCTTGTACAAAATCTCATTTCTATTAATTATTTTATCTGAGTCAATCGTAGATTGATTCATTGTAAACTAAAATATACATTGCTCTTTTAAAAATATGTTTAAAAGACGGTCTTGATATGATGCAGTCGTTGCAAATAATTTTATAGGTGCTACTACCCTATTCAAAGAGCTATTTGTCCTAGAATTGTGTTCTAAGAGGAATTTTATTATAATGTGAAGACAATACAGTAGAAATGGTACAATAAAGCTTTTAAAAATAGCTTTAACACATTGTTCCATTGTATAAGAACTTTTCCTTGTGTTTCCTAAAACATCTTGCTCTTTCATGGTCTTAAATGTACATACATTTAAAAGAACATCAGATGAATTCACAGATACCATAACACCCAAAGATCTATTTTTAGTATAATTCCTCTACCTATTTCAATAGAGTTTAGAAGACAGAAAAAAATTTTATCTTGGTAACCTTTTTTATTTTGATAATGGATTTTCTTTTTTCTTATCTAATTTATAACGTTTTGATGGTTATCAAGAAATTGGTAGGATTCCATTTGGCTTATATTACATACATGGCTAAAGCTGTGTACTTAGAATCACCAAAGAACCTTGCTAGAAATGTGGGTTCTGGGTCCCCTACCAAATCTCCCATGTCATAATTTATAAAGCAAGGACAAACTCCAGCTTTAAAATTCACAAAATGTGGAACCTGAATATTAAGGCTAAAACTTTTTTCTTCCAATACACATTTATGAGCTACACAGTGAATTCAAGGCCAGCCTGAACTACATAGCAAGACCTAGTCTCAAAAAAAAAATAAATAAATAAACAGTATAGTTAAAAACACAGACACAAAATGAACAGGTGTAAGATCTGAGAATCTTATAGTTTCTTTCCTTAGAAAAAAAAAGGTAGGTAGCCTGAAATGAAAAATGGATCTGTTTAGTTTAAGGTGTTTTAAAATTATATATAAAAGGTTAAGTATAATTAGAGAAGACTGATATTTTTTATATAAGGTAGTCAAGAGTTACATGCAATCACAATACTTATATGATTTACAGAAGAAATTTCAAAAGTTTCAATCATTTATCTATTTTGTTTTAATCAGTTTCATCCATCTAAATGATTATGCAGATTGACTAATTTCATAGAATAAAAAGCTATGCACTAATCCTTAATTTAGAAGAGTAAGCATATTCTGACATACTAAGAAATATAATTATATGTGAGGTATTCAGAAAGTTGGGTTTTGCTCTACTCCCATCATTTAAAATGTTTTTAAAGAATCTAAAAGCTAAAATTTTCATACATAGTAGTCAACTCAGAGGATTAACATTGGCCAAAACTCAAAATGACCAAAATGCTGATCTCCATATACAGAAAGTTTAACATCCCTATGATAGACACACATCTATTTAAGAGAACATTTAATCACGTGATCTAAGATTGCAAATTTAAGATCATTTTTTGGAGTTTTTTTCTAATGGAATCCAATGATATGATTGAATTTGTCACATAGAAAATACTTTAAGTCAGAAGGGGTTCAACTCCATCAAAAATATAGTGATAGTGACAAAAGATTTGGAAAGATAAAAACAGGAGCTAAAGGAAATGACCAGAAATTAAAGTCTAAACCTAGCATATATAAAGTAAAGTGCCCCGATGATATACACAACATTCAGTACTTTTGAATTTCAGATAAATAGGTAACTTTTAGTATAAGTATACTCATATAACATGTATAAATTTTATATTGTTATTTATTTAGAGCATGTTTCACATACTGATTTAAACTTAAAATATTCATTGTTTATCTGAAATTCTAATACAGTAGCACACATTTTTATTTGGTAAATCTGTCAACTCCATGCACAGGGTACTTTGTACAACTCTGTACATCTCAAGGAAGAGATACTTAATAGTCATGATTATTTTATTAACTTTAGGAGGATTGTTGCTCCTTACATCTTGCTAAGTTGTAAAAGTAGTATTTCTGTTGTGATCCTTTTTTTTTTTTTTTGGCCTTATCCTCCTCTTTTTTATATATTATCATGTGACACATATTAAAATGAAACTGAAATGACAGGAGTGAGATTCAAAATATGTCATCAGGCAGACTAAGACAAGGAAAGAGTAGGATTAGTTACTTCTTAAGAGACCTCCACCTAGCACACCGTAGGTCTTAATAAATAGCTGCCTCACTGCGTGAACCAGTAAAGGAATAGTGAAAAATAAAATCATTTCTCTGACGTCTTTAGTCAAACTCTTCAAAGTTATAGTTATCCATTTTGATAATATGTTGTAGGTTTTATTTATCCCTGAAAACTCACCATCTATGGAGACATTTAAACATGCCATCTTAAGACATAGTTTACAGAACTTTCCAATACTTCATATTATATGACCATTTTCTAGAATCTTGCCACACAAAGGGTGATATGAAAGCCACTATCACCATAAAACTCGGTAGAAAGGCTGAATCCGACAGTTTCCATTACCTCAGAACTCGATTGGGAACAAGGTCCTTGAGAGACGAAGAGCACATTGTTAAACATGGATAAGTGCACCTAATCAAAAGCCAAATTTTTTTCATTATGGGAAATTCACCCTTGCATCGCAAAGTTATAAATTACTCCCACTAATTCATATATTTTAAATCACTTCACTATTCTCCCAAAAGGTAAGTAGCTCAGAAAATACAGCAGGTCCATGATCTGGGATGCATAGAAGTAAACTTAAAAATAGTTTATAGTGCATACTCAGGTACACTTGGACAGAAGTAAGTTCTGGTGTTTTCTCGCACAGTTGGGTGGCTACAGATAACAATAATGTACTGTCTGCATCTCAGAAAGCTAGAAGAAAAGATTTCACCTTAAAATTTTCACCTCAGAGAAATGATAAATGAGAAGATAGACATGTTTAACCTAGTTTATTTATTATATAATGTATACAAGTATTGAAACATCATTGGTTACCCTACTAAGACATATAACATTATGTTTAAATGTGTCAGTTAAAGTAAATTAAAAACAAAAAATGTATTTTAAAGTGTTTGTGCTATGGCTAAAGAAGTAAGTGTCATTATTCTTCAAGGAATTATTGATCTTTATGATGAAGTTAGGAAGTTAATGAATAGTGATTCTCAATCTGCTATTTTGTTTAATGCTCCTTTGAGAAGCTGAAGAAACTGCAGTGACACCCCGTAGAGAAATGGTGCTCATGTCTATACTCGAGTTTCACAGAGAATTTTGGAGATACATTCCCATGCCCCATGAACTCAGTGGTCCCTTAGATGTTCAGACAGTCGATTTAATTCTGTCCTCTACACCAAGTAGGCATTTTTTAATAGTAGTTTACTCCCTTTACCATATAAAATTGATGGATGGCTAAAGAATGAGTAGACTAGACAGGGTCAGTGAACTTTGCTATACACTCAAATGATCTTTGCTTTATTATATTAGTGAGCTTACCCAAGGGATCTTTTTTGTTTAAATAAAATTGCTTTTTGTGAAGCCTCAAAAGATACGTGAATAATTTTTGCATCTGTCCTTCCTTTACCTCAGCTCGCCCGGGAACAGAAGTTTCAGTGCGAAGCACTAGAAACACAACTCCTCCTCAGATCCCCACCACATTTAACACAGTTGCGTATAGCCGAGAAAACCTTATTAGGAACACCACAGAGACCTTCATCTGGAATGCTACAGCAAGCAGCACACAGAACAGCAGCCAGAGGAATCACTCTAATCTGCACATGACTGAAATTGCAGACACATCATGGGTTCCACTGACCACTCAGCCCTTCTCCAGCACCACTCAAGAGGTAAAATGGCAGGGAGAAAGGGGGGACGTAAATGATCAGAAAATTCATTGCTTGCAAAAACTTGCTTTGCTGAAATGCCGCTCTTGCAGACGGGGAGCAGGCACTTTGTGTCCTAAGTACAAATCATACATGAATGCATTCTGCAAACCGAGAAAATCTTTGAAATTTCTATGTCTTTATACGGTAAATATAATTAGATCATCATGACATGACTGACATGTACTCCTATGAGTTTGCTATTTTTTTTGAACCAAAAATCAGGGGTCATGATTTTACACATTGCTTAAAACCAGGAAATATGAGTTGAAATCAATACTTTGCAAGTGATTTTACATGTATGTCATAATTATTGTACTCGAAGAGTGGGCAAAGTGTCGTAAAACAATGGCAGATACAAGAATCACTATACTTGACTTGAAAGCACAAATATCAGCAGTGTCAAGTGCCATTTCTGCATCAGTATCCTCTGTGTGTGACTTACCTATGATCTTCTTTAATATAAAAGTTGAATAATTGAGAAGCGGTAATGATGTGGTCAGAAGAGATGACTCAGACAGTTTCTGTTTTGAGTTCTCATCTCTTTGGTTCCATTTCATCTCAGAATTTTGGGTCACCACTTAGACAACAGAGGTGTAATTATAGCAATTAAAGAAGTTCACATTTGGGGCTGGGGATATAGTTCGGTGGTGTAGTATGTGCTTAACATATGCCAACCGTAGGTCTAAACCCCATCACCAAACCAAAGAACAAAAAATAGCATTTAGGTTTTACTCAGCAATATTTAACTATTTTCTAATATGTAACCCAAATAATTTAAAGAAGCAAATAGTATTCAATGACATAACATTCGTTTGGCACTCTGCTGTCTTTTGCATTGTGTAGAACCTAATCACACATGAGCATACAGCTAGTCAGCACGTAACTCATCAGTGATCACAAAATAAATATTCAGTACACAGAACAACTCATGGGACTTTATTTTTACCTCCACTTTTCTTTTACCATAAATCCTTCCTCTGTTTGACCTATTTTTTTCCTTGCCTCTGAATAGAAGTTAGGAAGATCTCATTACATTTCTAGAAACTGTTCATCACTTTAAAACTCAGCAATCAACCTCTATCCATTAGCAAAATGATCCACAACAGAAACTCAAACTTTAAGTTTGACTTAAACAACCCTTAAACTAAGGGTTAGTTTCTCCTGTCGTATCACTCCTCCCGGTTAGGGCTTAAAGTAGGGAAAGGAGAGCATGTCAAGAGTTTCTCTCTTACCTTAGATTTCCTCCCACATCTCATAGCTCAGTAATTATGGTTTTGGATCTGTCTGGGCTTGGAAAGTGGGAAAGGAAGTGGAAGCAGAAGAGCTGTGACTTACAGATGCTGTCATGAACTGGCACTTTGTTCTCCAACTTCTGAACTCTTTGAACCACTAACGTGAGATTCACCACTTTTGAAAATGAATGCCCATTGGTGGAGCATCTGCTTATTTTGGCAGATTATGCCTCCACTAAAACTTCCATCCTAACATTAGTTTATAAGAGTATTCATTCACATACATGTTAATATGTATTAAGAAATATGTTGAATGAAAACTATCATGAATTGTATCTGCCTGACCACTGAAAGGTTATATTTCAGCAAAAAGCGTTTTGCCCTGGTTTGACCACAATGAAACACAGGGAAACATCCAAGAGTTTCCTGATTTCCACTGGAATATGTCCCAGACAACCAGTTACAAAGCTATTTCATACACACTATACTAGTTAAACGAACCGAGCACTGTGTTACTGAATTCACATGACCTGAGTTGGGTTATCAGCCTTAAATCACATGAAGCACTCTGGTGATTTTTAAGTCTTTTTCTAGAATTAAATCCACTTTAGTATATATGAGCTCCAGATGGGACACCAGAATGTCTATGCAACCAACTCTCATGTTTCAGCTTTTTTTTTTTTTAACTCAGACAAAATGTTGACTATGTCCTGAGAAACAATTATGTAAAAGCTGTGCTCTTTCCAAAGACAGTTTCTACAACTATAGATTTCTGTAGACATCTTTGCTAAATCAGAGCATTTACTTTTTGACAGTCATTTATAAACAGCTATAGTTAGATGCTGTGAAATATAAAAATGAGCCATTTGGGATATAAAATGTCCATCCTTTGAAAGCAATTTCAAAAGATACTCTTCCTTGACAGAAGGTGTCTAGAAAAGTATAAAAGACAAATAAAATCATTGAACTTAATTTCTTCTTTTCTTTTTCTGCTTGCTTGATTTTGTTTGCTTGTTTGTTGTTTGTTTTGCATGACTTTTTTTTTTTTTTTTTTTGGTACCAGGGATTGAACTTATGAGTTTGCGCTTGCTAGGCAGATGCTGTGCTAGTGAGCCAAATCCCTGGCCCCTTGAACTTAGTTTCTTCAAATTGTGTAAAAAAAAAAAAATTTCTACATGTCCATTTTCTTTATCACAGGATACCTGGCTTGTGAGAATTTTGAATTCATTTATCTAAAGGAGCTGTGGATTGGAGTGATATGTTATTGAGTGAACACAGTAAATATCTGAATGAAGTTTGAAGATTAAGGACTGTATCAAATAAGAAAAATGTTTGCTTTTCCAACATTTGAAATGTATTAGAGGGCTGGGGATTTAGCTCAGCAGCATAAGCACCTGCCTTGCAAGTGCTCAGTCATGAGTTCAATCCCCAATACTGATTAAAAAAAAGAAAGAAAGAAAGAAATGCATTAGATTCGATATCTAGTAAAATTTTATGAGAATAAAAAGAAAAGGACAAAGTGCATTGGAGCAAGGGGAGTGAATGGAAAGGAGTAGCATGGCATGGGGTGAAATGCCACAAAGGGTCTACAATGAGATGAATAGAGCTGAGCAGGATGGAATGCGGTGGAATGAAGTTGAGGAATTGAAATGGAATAGAATTAAATGGCTTTGAATGGAATCAATTGGAGTTATGTAGGGAAAATGGAATGGAATGGAGAGGATAGAAAAGAAGGTCTATGAATTGAGTAGACTGAAGTGTATGGAAGCAGGTAGAGCTCTTGACCACCTGACTAGTAAGGAACCCATTACCACCAATGGCTACCTGTGCTGGTCATCCCGAGTGGCCATGTGTTTTTACTGCCTAAGTGTTTTGAAATTTGTGTCCATGTAATGTTTCATACATTCATGTTATGAGGTATATCTTTTTCCTTCATAAACTAATTAACCCTTTTTGTCCTTCATGTTTCTCTCATTTCTCTCTTAATCATACTTCGACTCTCCCCTACCACACACACAAAAGTGTAAGAGATAGTGAAAGATAAGTGCTCCATTTAGTCACTTTGAAAAATATCCACCCACTCAACATTTTTTGAGAACTGACCTAGCATCAGTACACAGTGCATACTAGAGAACTCAAAATTTGAGTGCAAAGCTCCAAATGAGTCTTTCTAGATAGGTGACCAGAGCAAATTATTTACATTCTCTAAGTGTTAGTTTCTCCATCTGTAAATAAAACTTGTACCTCTGCAGTCTGTTGCAAGGATTGAAAGAGAATACTTGTAAAGTATTTGCTACTATACCTGGACCTTTGTGAGCATTTGAGAAATACTAATTGTTATTACTTTACTACATCATAAAGATGAATGAAAAATTATTTTCCAAAGGAACCATCTGCCAAGGTGTTAAAAGATAGAGAGATACACACAGAAAGTTTCATAATACAAAACAGAAGATTCTGAATGGTATAAAGATTTCAGGGAAAGTGCTGTGAAAAATGAAATATATGAACTAAGTTTTAACAAGATAAAAGGGTTACCTAGGGGGCTGAGGATTTAGCTCAGCGGCATGAGTACCTGCCTTGCAAGCAGGTGGTCATGAGTTCGATCCCCAACCGGTAAAAATGAAAAAGACAAAAAAAAAAAAAAAAAAAAAAAGGGTTAACCTAGTAAGATGTAGAGAAAGTTAGATAAAGAAAGGCAAAGAAACTGAGGTGGGACAGATGGAATTAGAGAGGGAATCCAATTTTCACCTAAAATTTAAAGAAACTTGGGATTTTATTACTTCAGTCAAATGGTGCATTTTGTACTCATCTATTAAGCACCTACTATTTGGCAGAGATTGTGGAGTAAGTAAAAATAAATAATAAAGATTGAATCATAAATTACATAGGCAAAACAATGTACTAAATTCATTGAATAAGGATCTTCGTCCTGCCCTAAATGTAAAAAAAAACCTAGAGAATATAAGATCCCTGTAATAATTCTGCAATGAATAAGAAAGAATATATTTTAAGAAACAGCCCAAATGCATGTTTTCAAGTTCAAGACCAGCCACAACTGCCAAGTGAGACCCTGTCTCAAGACAACAACAAATATCATGTAGAGTGTTTGTTTCTTTCCTTTCATCAACAGTACATTAGAGTGATGAGGCAGAAAGCATAAGGAGATGTTATGTAGTAGCTGGAGAGCAGAAAGCTGGAGAGCAGAGGATGAAAAAGAAGCTAAGTTTGCTTACAGAGTGATGCTAACCTCTTTCATATATTCTGGAGGAGCTGTATATGTACTCGCGTCTGTTTTTATCACTGTAACAATCTTGTCCCAAAGTTAGTGCTGTAAACAATGAGTTTCCAGTTGCTTATGATTCCTCTCGCTGGGTCTTCTTGGCTGTCTATTGTGGTTGCATTTGGCCAGCTGAGCCGGCAGATTGAAAGTAGCCTTGCTTGTGTGATTGGCAGTGTGGGCTCTGGAGTTGCTGTCTCATCCTTCGGTGAGGCCGTGGAAGCTTCTTCTTCATGATGGTTTGTTGCAGCTTCACAAGCGAGAAAAAGTGAAAGCTGTGAGGCTTCTGAGGCCTTGTCTCTGGAAAAACTTAATATCACATTCTATGATCACATAAACCACAGGCTAAGCCAGACACATAAGGGTGGAGAAACAGACTCCAACTTTTGATAACAAGAGCCGCTAAGTTCCATTGTAAAGAGACATACATGTTGGGTGAGGGTACTAGT